CCCCCCCCCTTATTCTGACGCATTGTCCTCTGTTTCGAGAGTGAAGTAAGAAAAGAAAAATTTTTTTCTTCCACGACGAAGGCGACACGCAAAGATAAACAAGAATCTAATCGAAAATGCTGCCCCGAATAACTATTATAAAATACACAGTTCATATATCACATATATACAGTTCACAGATTTTGTTTGCCAGTTGTACAATTTCCGAAATGTCTGCAGACAGCCAGATAATATTAACAATTTATAATACCGGCGGTGATACGAGCTTCTTGAAATCTAAATCGATCGACTATCGTATCTCTCGATACGCGTAAATTCTAATATTAAATCTCGATTTCACGATTTTCCATTTTGCCAACCGTGCCAACTTTTTTTTTTCCAAATTCCCAATCAATTCTTTCGAAGCATCACGCGACTTATGAAATATCAACCTTAGTCTACATTCCCGCTAATTAATAAGACTTAATCGACAGCTCGAAAACGCGAGAGAAACTTAGGAATACAACTTTCAGTGAACAACTGAAATGTTGGATCGTCTCGTAAGTTCTGTCGTTCGTTTCGCTGAAATTTAAAAACGCGCAAAAAATTGGAAATAGTGTTAATTCTTTCGTTTCTTCCCTTTTTATTTAAAAAAAAACTTTTCCATTCCCAGTCTGTAAAAATGTACATGATATTGAATGAAATCGATGGAAAAGTATCTTTTCAAAATTCATAAAACGAATTTTCTTAAATTTATTAAATATTTATGCTTATTAAAAAGAACAAGAAGTGTCGCGAATGTTCTTGACTGAAGCTTCCAATTGCTTCGATTCTATCGATCTTTATTCGCATGCATTATGTATCAAATATGAATGAAGAAAACAGACATGCTCTTGACTCGTTGCTTGCAATGTTCAGTCACATAAATCGTGATATCAATTTGAAAGAAAGTGGAACTCGAATTCGAATTTTAAACTTAAACTGAAGTTTAAACGGAAGATTGCCCCAAGTGTAAATTACATATTAGATCGTAGTAAATTTATATTGAATTGAAGATTAATAAAAAGTTATACATTGTAATTCTTATTTGTTGCATCGTTCGAAAGATCGAAACGAGAATTCTATACTTGAACATTCAACGTGTAACTTGTATCTATTCAATCTTCAATCTGATACAAATTTACATTCTTCAGCTTGACATAACTCTAATATAGTTTTTGCTCGATAATCGTCAATTGAACATGAAAATTTTAATAAAACTCAATACATTGCAATATTATCAAGGAAAAAAAAAAAAGGAGAGAGACAAACTCGAACTATCAACTCAAGATCTACAACACTGCTATTAAAATAGTAGACCCAGATTTCAAACCTCGCCTAAAGCCTGCGAGACGTATCCTGAAAATCGACGAAAATCGACCGTAAACCAGAACTTACGAAACGACCCAACGGATGAATACTGCATGTACAAACACAGGTATCGATTAGTAGATCACCATGGCGGTTCTG